TCTCCGTATCGTCGACATTTAAATGTTCAGCTGGCATAATCGCACTTCGATATCGTATTCGCGCCAAACGAACTTGAAACCGCACGACACGCGTTGACCTTTCATTATACGCGACCAACGTCGTGTATTCTGTCGATTCTTCGCTTAAACCTTTCGTTTCTGTTCGTCGATAGTGATCTGCCTTTCGTTTCTAGCCGTCGTTTTAGCGTAAATCAAATCCGCCTCGTCGAATGTGCGACGAGGCACGAGGACATTCTTCGTCTCTCTCTCTCTCTCTTTCTTCGTGAACGATAGACTGATTTTTACGCATGATTGTCCGGGCATTCAAACACATGCTAAAATTTAACGAGCTTCACGTCGTCGGCAATGCATCAAAGCGCTCCAAATAAGCGACAATGACGCGACGCACGCGTGCGTTTTCCATGCGTGTACCTACCTATTATGTATCCCAGTCGACTGCGTAACTACGCAGCGCATATATAGATTATAATGAATACGTTACATTAAAGCGAATAACAACTACCGCCGACGAGTTTCGCCTCGGACAAGTCGCTGTTTTTTGTCGACGATATAACGTTCTGTCTTCTTGGACTGCTGTGTGTGTTCGTTTCAATAATATATCGGGTTGATTCTAAAATTGCGGGCGTTTTCTCGGTCACGGATGCTGTGATGTTTCTCTTTCGCCATCCACGGGTAAGATGTGAAAGAAATTTGAAATTTATTTATCTTCCCGGAACAAATTTATCTAGCATACTCGAAAAGCGATAGTTTTAATAAATTTTTATGAGAATCATTTATGCCGAACGTTCTTCTTTTCGCGTATATATATCCTAATTTAAAAATAAATTGCTAAAACAGCTATAATGAGTGAAAGTTCGCATCGCGACGACTTCTCCGATGTAATGGAATCGAAACAGATATATAAGCAATATCTTTTACATATGTATATTTACAGACTGAAAACCCATTTCGCGGAAAGAAAAGGAGAACGGAAATGTTTACTTTTATTTTCGCGGTTGCAAATAATGAATTATTGACTCGCAGAACTGTGTACGGGATTTTACGTAGTCGCGCAAAAGTCGTAAGTGGATCATCCTCGATTCTTTTCGCGAGACTGATAGCTATCAATTTTACGCAAACGTGCGGAACGAAAATTATATGCGAACGAGTATAGTATAAGTGGGCGGTGATGTAAACGCACGGGTTTATACGTAAATAACTAAATGAATAAACATTGGAGTAGAGTGCACCGCGATGGCCGTTATGTAAACGTGGATCTCAAATACACATACGTTAGTCACGCAAAAAGTACGAAAGAAACATTACTTATAGACACGGAAATCTGAGACACCGTTACTTCCGGTTCGAGAAAAGAAAAAAAAAAGGTTTAAATAACAATTAGAGAGAGGGACGCGTATATTTTTATAAAAAAAATGTTCTCTTTTTTTTCTCCTTTCGCATTTCCTTGTTCGACATTTTATCGGACAAGTTTCTCGTCTTCTCACAAAATACAAACGAGCTTCTGTGCCTGGCCACTTTCCCGGGGAGATCGTGTAACAATCGCGGCTCATGAATTTCTGGCATATTTCATTTGGAAAAAAAAAAGACTAGCATGATATCGCACACATATGTATGTGAGAATATGCGCCATCTCTGCCTGTTTGATCTTGCGAAAACGCGGGATAATTAACGAGTTTTTCACGAACGAGAGCGAGATCCGCGCACGGAAAGGAAACTCGAAAGCGAATGGAAACGAAATTGTGAAACGCGTTACGTAGTGGAAATTACGAACGTCATCGTAATGTTTTTTGCCCGCGAAATAATTTAAATCCGATGCATCTATTTTGACAATCAATTTGTGGGAGATGCACGCGACAAAAGTATTTTATTTTCCTCTCGTTTGTCGATTCTCATCTTCTCGGATCGAAATACATCGCCGGCACAGAATGAAAGAAAGAAACTAGTGATTCGCGTGGGTGCGTGGATGAAAAAGTATGTGTGCGTAAATAAATATAGGAAAATAAACAGGCTGAGAATGCCGACGCGCGCCAAGGCCTCGCCGGCTTTCTAACGACAGTCGCTTTTATATAACGGTCATTATTCGTCCCTTTTTATTACAACAAAGGTAGATACAAAGACGCACGACTTTCGCCGCGAACGGCACGCGATATACGTGCCGTTTGACAATTATTCAGTAGGTGGGCGGGGGCGATAGAAATCGTAGTACATCAGAGGGATAGATACGCAGCGGGGATAACTTTTCGGAATTATCCGATGAGGGACTAGAAGACCTCTTTGGCGATCAACCCTTCGTACCGGGTGGCATCGTTATAAATGACACCGTACGTTCGAATCTATCCAGAAATATACGACGACGGTGTCATTTGAATCACCCTGTAGACGGTCGTCGACTGCAGGCGACTTTGCGATCGAGTACTGACAATATTCTGGAATTCTTTTAGAAAGACATGATGAAAGAAAAGTTCAAATTTTAATTGATTAAATTTAATACATCATTATGTATTTGCAGCGTTTGTCATCGTGTAACAAATTTAAAGAGGCATACTCGTTTGAACTCTCGAAAAATGAGTACATTTTCTAGATTTTTTGCAGCGCAACGACTTGATGAAAACTTCTTATTTTTTTACAATATTAATACAATATTATTAAATGCTTAAATAAAAATTTCCAGCTTAAAAATTTTTCTTTTTTTGAAGTTATGCGAATATTTGCAGATTTATATTTTCATGCACAGTGTGCAATCGCATAATTTTTATTTGTAAACAAAAAAAAGATGGACCTTTTTTTTTAAAACCGAAACTTTTTTTCAACATGCCGCCATTTTCCTATTTTTAAAAATTTTGAAAAAAAACGTTATTATGGATAGCAGATAGCTATGAATATGTTTAATAAAAAGAAACTTGTATTTTTGATTTCTGATATGATAAACGAATGTTTTCATGCATACTGTGCATGAAAATATAAATCTGCAAATATTCGCAAAACTTAAAAAAAAAAAATATTTTTTAAGCTGGAAATTTTTATTTGAATACTTAATAATATTGTATTAATATTGTAAAAAAAAAAAGTTTTTATCAAATCGTTTAAAAAAAAAAATATTTTTTAAGCTGGAAATTTTTATTTGAATATTTAATAATATTGTATTAATATTGTAAAAGAAAAAAAATTTTTATCAAATCTTTACGCTGCAAAAAAATTTAGAAATGTACTCATTTTTCGAAGGTTCAAACGGGTGTGCCTCCTTAATAAAATTAATTTTCATATAACGGAACGAGATAAAACCCGTTTTATTACAAATCAATATTTTATCCGGTCATTGATATGTTAAGAAATTATATAATGATAGCAGACAAAATTAAGTTTGCGCCCGCATAAGACTTCAGAACTGCCTTCAGTGAGAACAATTTGTAATGAGAATAATTAACGAAGAAATTATTGTTAATCCTCGATCGCTCCGTCTGAATTGATCATCTTCCACGACACTTTTTTACAATATAATCTTCCTTACTTTGCTACATTACGCTCACAATTCTATACACATAATGTAAGAAAATCGCAGATCATATATTATACAACAAACGAGATACAAAAATAAGTGGCGATCCTCTTCGAGCATGAAACGTCACTCGAGAGATGGAGATGTAATTAACTGTACAAAATTATTTTCCAAGTCTCTCTCTCTCTCTCTCTCTCGGCTGCACCAAGTTTTTCCGCGATTTTCAGCGAGCCTGTGTAATGTAATTATCAAAATGTGTAATGATAAACTTGTAATAAGAGAGAGTATTCTTTCAATACATTTTTCAGTATTTCTCAATATTTAAAAAAATTGGACCTGACACAAACTTTTTCTCTTAACAAGTCTTTTTTATATCGAACATATCTTTTCTTTTTTTACATCTTGTATTGACTTCCCTGTCAAAACAATTGGATATTTATTTGTTTCCCCATTTTATGTAGAATTAGAATTTACTTAAATTTTTATACACGTTGTCTCTCTATATCAATTACGAGAAGGAACGAGAGAGCGAGGGGAATATCGTACGAGCGGAAATTATCATTCTGATTCGAAATAAGCGGAAGTCGTCTCTAGTCTGTTCTCTGGCCCTCCAAACGGAAATTCGAGTGATCCAATGAAGGGCGATTGCCACCCTAATAGGTGGCAAATATACATACATCAACACACTCAACGAAGACTATATGTTTTTCATAGATAAATATATATA